TTTGCCCGAGGGGCAGGGGGCCGAGCCGGGGGTACCGGCCGGGCGGAGGGCTTTACTTTGCCTTCAGATCCGTAGGCTCCTGGTGACGGGCCTGCCTAGCAGCCTCAGAGACGGAGGTGTTCCAAAGGCTGGTACCATCCTGCAGCTGTCGACCGGAATAAAGAGTTGTACTGTATTCGAATGTGTGCTGGGCGCGTCGAAGATGGCCTGCGTGGGCGTGCTGTCAGGCTGACATAGAGAACTGTGGGACAGCTGTGGTCAGAATCTGTGTGGTATATAGCACAAATGTTCCTGTCGGAATGCTCAGGCGTGGAATCATTCGGATCACTGTATCTAGTGGAAGCTGAAGTAATGTGTCTTCCTGAGTCTGCACACAGCCTGACACCAGCTGTAGGTAGTAGGAACGACTACTACTGCTAAGATTTTTCATGTGTTACACAAAAGATTAGCTTGTTCTTATAACTAAATTGTGTGTTGCAGCCTCTCTTAAAGGAGAGTGCCATAAAAATCGATGCAGAATTTGTTTGTTATAGTAAGACAGTAAGAGTCTGGTTCAGCCCAGAGAAGCTGCTTGCAATTTTCCTAGGCAAAACTCACCTGTAACGATGCTTTCAGGATAACTTTGATGTCGATTTGATCTAGATTTCATACACTGAGTAAGGTTCTTCAGTGAACTCTGTCTCTGAAATTATAGGCCAGTTCATTTTTTAGGTTTCTATTTCAAGTGGAATCACAAAAATGCTTCAATCTCGTAATTGTAAATAGGTCTTACTAAATGCCTCTGCAGAGAACACAGAATTATGTCCAGGGCATAAATCATGGAAGAAATATGCATCCTCAGAGGGCTTGCCTACTCAGAGAAGTGGGTAGAATAATGCAAACTAACAACTGTATGTATTTCATTTCTAGTTCAAGGTCTGGATTCTAGTCAGAGGATATCATTTGGATGTAAGGAGTAGGAAATGTGTGCATGAATATTTTCCGTTTAATAGGGAGACAGCGTGCGACGGTTGGCTGTCTAAGAGGTTTTGGTCTTTTGCAAGCTCAAATTCCCTTGTAGTACTCGTTTTCTTTGAAAAATATGTCTGAGCCAGGTTTTTCAGCTTGCAAAGACAGGTGACTCAAAGCTGACAGTGGAGTGGATGGTCTGGACAGCAAATGGGGGAGAGTGGGATACTAGACATGTTTAGTCCTCTGCATTAGTTCCTGTTACCCTTACTAGAACACCTGAAACTCTTAGTTCTCTTTGTAGACTTGTATGAGAAGAGGAAATCAGTTCTCTCCTCTGTCTCTGACAGCGATTATACTTCAGAGCATCTGGTGCAGAGACCACAGCTTTCTGTGTTCTGACATGAGGTTCCCACTGCTCCCCGGGACTGCCAGAGCTTCTCTGTTGTGTATGGTTGCTCCAACAGTTCCTGGTCTCAGCTTTTGTGGATTCCTTTGCTGGGAGCACAAGCCCCTTGCTGGTTAGCATTCACAGAAATTACTGTAACAAATTTAGTGAATTCTCTTGACCCTTTATCTCCATCTGGTTATAAGATAACTCTACAAGCACGATAGACTATGAAAATCATTGTTTTATAATTGACACTTAGCGATTCGATTTCTAGTTGCCTATATTTTCCTTAAAATAATTGTAGTCTGCCACCTGCGTAAGATTTTTTGAGGATATTATGCTGGATTTGCCTAATTTTCCTCGTACTATGTCTGTCTGACCACTGCATGTTAGCTGCAGATGCACTTATACATGTAAACATTGCTGGCTAAGCTTCTTTCTGCATCCTGGAAAGGAGGACTTTGTCTCTTTGTTTGCATAGATTAATGTATATGTATTAAAAGTTCTAAAGTATACGTTACTAACAGGTATGCTTACTGAACTGGTAACATAGTGCTAAGTCATAGACAGAAAATCCTTGTGCTGTCTAAACCCACTGATAAAATTGCAAGGAGATGAACGTGGAATCAGTTGATGGCTCTTTTTCCTGTTCTCCTTATTGTGTGGCTTGTTCTTCTGGAACATCTTCTAGTCTCAAAAGTTTTGCTACTGACCACTTTAACTGACATAGGAAATGCTAGAGTGGAACCCAGCTGGTCGAAACACCAGCAAAACTTGAGCCTTGACACCTCTGAATAGCTGACTGTCACTTGTGTGCCTAAAAGCAAATATTCCTCAAGATCAGAAATTGTGCTGTAGTGTATTGAGAAAATGGTACTACTGAGTCCTCTAACATTTGTTCAAAGATCCTGAATGCCTTCACGGTCACCTCAGACTTCTTTATTGCTTCAGAATTAATTTAGCATTTATCATTCAGTGTTGCAGAAAATGCAACTTAGCTGTGGTTCTAGTACTTTTTCCATGTCTTTCTATGTATGCACACCTTCCTGGGAAACCATAAGTCCTCTGGGTTTTTTTTTCTCCTTTCTTTTTTTCTAAAAACACAAAAATAACTGGAAGTTGTAAAGTGTTTAAAGTATCAGACAGTAAAAGTCTTTAGCTTGTGGAGACTTTTAAAAGGACTAACTAGTGATGCTGATCTATCCCCATAGCTAGAAGGAGCATCTGGATTAATCTTGGATAAAATTAGTATAACTCATTATTCTCTATTATGCAAATACTGTAATATAGTTAAATAAATCATCCCTTAAAGTAGAGAAGGGTAGTGATCTGTGTTACTGATGATAAAAGCTATGCAAAAGTACAAATATACTTAGAAGTCACCTTCTGTTTGAATAGCAAACTGCTTTGATTTGCTTTAATTTTTTTTTTTTAGAGGAGACTTTGTGCATGTTTGTGCTTAGAACGCTGACACCATAGATTTTCTGTTCAGAACAGATTTGTTGTTGTTATGCCTGCAGTGAGCAGCTACACAATTCACATTTTATGCAGGATGGTAGTTCCATATAGCCTTTGTGTTTCTGCCTCTTGGGTATAAAGTAATGCTTTTTGTTTACATGTTGTTTTCCTCTAAAACTGGAAAATACAAGCAGTGAAAACTAGATAAATTAGGATTAAGTACTTTTGTTCCAAAAATGTTTTGTAATGTATTCCTGTACTATATGGAAAGCTGTCATGGAATTTTACTTTTGCATTTCCTCTTTTGATTCCCATTAACGAAGAGGTCCCCAAAGGTTTGTTAGTTGTGGTACTAGTAAGAGGGTATGTACAGTCAGTCAGAGAGCTGATGCGGAGCATGAACTCATTGTCCAAGCTGGAAGTCCGGTTGTCTTCCTTCACATTAAATCAAAACCAGAAGTCTAAAATATTTCATAGTTAATTATTATGTAAAATACTGTCTGGCATCATAAGTAATATTGTAATTTCTATTACTTCATTATCTGATTCGGAGTAAATACTTTCTTTTAACCACTATTGTAGTTGGGGCCCCCCTAAGAGGGCCCAAATAGCAAATGGCAAATAATTAAAGTTACTGTAAAATACTAACTTGAAGCGCATTGTATAGTCTTTTGCGGCACACAATGTAGCACCCTTTGAGTCCTAAGAAAGAGTAACATGCAGTTAATAACAAATGTAGCACACTGTTGATAAACTTGTATTTTAGTGGCTGCTTTTCTTGTGTGTGTGATTTTTTTGAGTTTTTTTTTGCAAGCAATAATGTTGACAAAATATGAGAACCAGAAAATACAGGATGTTTGGAACAATGTGTTACACACGTATAAAGAATGACACTTTGGGGTGCTCTGGGCAGTCCTGCTTCATGCTGAAGGACAATCTGTGCAAAGAATCTGCAACCTCTTTGACTGTGTGTAGACATTTAAATGATCTCGAACTTCCCAAACCCGTTTGGTATCAGCCCTGTAGGACAAATCAAAGAATTTTGATAAAGCAGACTTCTTTCCAATTTTACAGCTGATGCTAAACTTGTAACTTTGGTTTCCTAGATTCAGCACTTCAAGACAAACACTAATGTGGATTCCAGACTCCTTTTTTTCCAGGTATTAGTAGTATATCATCACATTAAACAAAGACAAATTTACAGTCATTAAAAAAAAAAAGTCTGTATGTTCTTAGTTCTTAATTTATGCCGTAAGTAGTATCTTTATTCCTTAATGCTTTTTCTCTGTCTCAAGCAGTGGGACAGATTGATTTGAAATAAGCTGTTATGCAAAAGGCATTTTCTTTCTTGAATGATGCTATGGAAGCTTATATGTGCTGAGGAGTTGTCAGTTTTTAGATGGAGTGTTGTGGAAATAAAGCTCCACGTCTGCAGGAGAGGGAGATGCCACTGACCTTATTACCATGTTGCCACTTGTGATTTTATTGACCATACAAGGTAGCACTGCCTTTAATGCTTTTTGAATTATTGCTGTACCATGAGTTTAGTCAAAGCTTTGAGGGTTTTAACGTGGTACAGGAGCTGCTGGGTTATTGAATATCCTTCTGCTAACTTTTACTACTGGTGTGCTGCTTACTGTTTGTACCCTAGCAATTTTGTACTGCAGTTTTTGTACCTCTACTGCCCCAGCTAATCCAAAACACATAAAAGAAAACCCAAAGGCTAGCAGTTTTGCTTCTTTACATTTAATTTTTGTACTCTAAACTTCTTTCCCTGTAAAAGTCTAGCAGCTGACATAGACAGGCAGCGTTACCTGCTCCTGTTTTACTGAGTGTTCAGATCAATGGAGTGCCAGGGAAATGTCACCTTCTTTGAGGCATGGAGGGAAAAGCATAAGGAGGAAGTCCTTGCTATTCCCCAGTCTCTCAGTACTAATCCAATGAGGATGTTCCGAAAGTCATCCAGTACTGGAAAATCACAGAGGTAGTTGTCATCCAGACTCAAATGGAATCTTGAAATAAAACAGTTGGCAGTAGTTAGTTTGCTTCATATCTGTGAAACAAGGCTTTGGTGTTGTGTTTTCTCCTGATCTGGAGCAAAAGTACTTTGGAGAGGAACTGTGAAGTACAATAGTGTAAAAACTCATCCACCCCATTCTTGCCCAGTAAGTCCTTGCAGAATGGATTTTTTTACTCTTCCTTTTTACTTCAGCAGCTTAAACGGTTTACTAGATTGTAACAAACTATGCAGCCCTCTGGGTGCCTGGGAAAACTTTTCCATCCTTCCAGGCTAGGCCTTGAGTCTGTTTTCTTTGGGAATCTGAAGGTCCTTATGATGCAGCTCTCATTAGCCTTTCCTTAGGTGTGCATGCACTGCTCCTATGTTCAGGACAGATGCTTCACCCTGACCAGCATTTTGCCTTACCTAGGCATTATTCTTTGCTCAGCTGCACAGTTTTCCTAAATTGCAGTCTACAATACAGAAATAGAGCAAACTGACTGAGAATGTTGCTGTCTTTGTGTTTGTGTTAGTAAATTTCTGGAGGACATCTAACCAAGATTTCTTGTGTTTCAGTTTGCTGAGTGGAAGAATTTCAACACTGAAAGACGAAACTGGTGCTGTGAGTAATAAACTTACTGAAAAATCATTCATTTCATGTTATGCTTTCGGTTAGGTTCTCTTCTAAAGAATATCCACTGCGTGCTGATAGGAGTTACACTGCCCGAGTCAGCTATGCTTAAAAGCATGGAAAACAAATGGCCAAATGCATTACAAACATTCACATTTCTGGGCTTTTAAAAACTTGTTTTGGCTTTTGCAAGTATTTTCTCCGTTGCTATTGTATTACATAACCACTAATAGTAGTATTGGAGAAGCCTACGTTTAAAATGCTGACAGCACCATCTCTGCTTCAGAGTCCATGAGGTGTAGTGTTCAATTGGCCTTGACCTTTTGTTCATGTTTTGTCACTTATTTCAATAGGGAGAAAATATGGGACTTTGAAATCATTTCAGAATGTCACCATGTGTTTTCCTTTTGTTGGATTCTACACAAAATACACTATCCTCTTACAATCGCAAAGCCTAGTTGCAATACTGTTCATGCTATTGAGCAGGAGAATGACTGGAGTATTTAATTTAGTTGTGTCTAATGAAGTTCTAAAGATTTTAGGGCAGAATAAATGTACCTACTTGAGTATCATCGCACTGGTCTGGTCTCCAGACTTTCACGAAGATTGGTGACGTCTCTGGACTTCTTGTTTCTCATCGTCATTCCAAGATAAATGAGACTGCAACAATGTGCATGTTTTCATGCTCATTCTGCATGGTACAGACAGTGCAGAGACAGAAACTGTGCTGCTTTTAAATAGAAAGAACTGCTAATTGCTGTATTGCAGAGGGAGGTTAATTTTTATTGGATAGTATTGCATATGTACTTCAGTAATCCTGACATGTAAATGTAGCTTTGGTTGGCAAACATATATAGCAAAATAGCCATTTTGGTCTGTGTATATGATATTCTTAAATGGGAAACTATAGTTATAGCAATGTTGTTGAGTGATAGTAAGGCACATGGGTACTTTGCTAAAAGCATAGAGGTAATTTTAATGGTTATTGACTTCATTTAAAAAAAAAGTCTAAACTTATCTTGATCTTATTACATTTACTGTATTCTAAATGTATGGTAGAAAGTGAGAATACCCATTGATCTTTATGGAGACTCTAGAAGTTAAAGAAATGTGTTTATTAAGTGCCATCTATTTGCAGCAGTCTTTGTATATATGTCTTTTAAGAATGTTGAATTAGTGGATGGTAGAAGAATAATGAGAGCAAAGGGTTGGCCCAAAAAATTTGAGTTATGTTTGTCTGTTGACTGCTGCATCTTTAACTCCTCTTTCCCCTGCTCAGCATAAAAAAAGATTTTTAGTTGATGGTTGCTCCATAGCAGTGCTGAAAGTACAGTGATATTTCTTTGCAGATATTTATTGATCGAGATCCAGCAGCATTTGCACCAATTTTAAATTTTCTTCGCACAAAGGAGTTAGACTTACGGTAAGAAGTTCTAATTATGTCAAGTGAAAATTAATTTGATCAAATGTATTAGGAAGCTTTTTCAAGTGAGGTTTGTTCAGTTTCTCAGCTAGCTGGGTGCCTAGTATATGACTCGGCTCCCTGGTAGATTTGGGGCCATGTCTAGAGTGTATGTGTGGAGTGGTGGAGGCAGAAGTGGTAGCTTTATATTTTAGTGGATTCTTGTAATTTAAACCACTTCTGGCAATGTAGTTCTTTATTGTTTCTGTATCCTTATTTTAATGAAAGATAATTAATATTAAGATCACTTTGAAATCTCAAACATCAGGTTGAATAAATTTGTTGCTAAACAGGTAGCTAGATGTTCACATTGTGTAATATCTAGTTACATGCAAGTCTTTATCTTCGAGGTATTGACTCGCTCTGTTCTTGTGTTTTTTGTTGTTTTCGTCTTATTTTTTCTTTCTCTAGGGGAGTGAGTATTAATGTTCTCAGGCATGAAGCTGAATTCTATGGAATCACTCCTTTAGGTAATTTCTTTTTTGTTTAAATAAGAGGTCATCTCACATTCGTTACTATAGTATTGACCCACTTACAAGTCCTGGGCAGTTATGACCCTGAAGATTTTCAAACTTACTGATAACAGAAGGTTATTTGAAATAATGTAATGTAATGTTACCTGGGAAGTGAAAGCTATAGTCATATCTGGTTTTCCTCCTTAGTGAGAAGATTACTACTATGTGAAGAACTAGAACGCTCATCTTGTGGCAGTGTCCTTTTTCATGGCTACCTGCCTCCTCCAGGTATTTTTGTATTCATGGTCTGATGTTGCTTGCAGTCACTTATTGCTTTAGTTCATGGGGGCGATTGGCCGAGGTAGTTACTCTAGCCGTCAAACTGCCCAGAGAAGGCTTTCCTATGGAAAAATTAAAGATGAATGGTTGAATCGAACATCATTCTGATTCAAAAAGAAAGCTCTTTATCTGTATGCTGTATGAAATGGCATATTTAGAGTACTGGGCAGTGGGGCAGTGGCATGTTAATACTAAGCAGGCTGTGTTTGGTTATCAGCATGGAGTACTTGCTTCTTTCTGAAGGTACAGTTACTTTAGATGCCCTATGTCTAGATGACACATCAGCACAAATGAGCTTTCCTTCACAATACGAGTACTTGTGAGATTTTTACTTCTCTGTAGAGATGAACACAGTTCGTGTGTTAACCTGAAGTCTAGGGGACATCTAGGCAATTGTTGACAAGTTTTCTGATGATAGTTCCCTTAGTTATGAGTGTCAGTGTAGAGAGAAAAAGCATTTTCTGTTTCAGTCTTACGATATTGCCTAATTCTTATAGCACAGGAATTAGACTTTATATCAAAATGCACAAGTGAATGAATATCTGTTATATTGCTAAAGTTTGAGTGGGACAAAACATCTCTTTTCTTCTATAGGCATTCCCAGCCGTAAAATAAATAATACTGCTGGGCCACCGGCTGATGTTAGAACTGGTCAAAACTGCTCCGAGAGTGAGATTCATGGAGGTGGTGTCCAACCTACACTCACTGGTACTGGGGAAGGTACAGTCAGGCTAGGTGAGGAATGTCAGTTTTAAAACCAAAACAAATCGCAAAGATGATTGTTGCTGGGAAATAAAAACTGAGTGACTATGCTGAACACTTACTTATACACTTCTCATACAGTATTTAAGGCTCACTGCTGCACAATCAAGACAGGAGGCAGAGAGAAAGGCAAAGCAAAGTTCTTCATACAGTCTTAGTATGGTCCCATAAGCATATGCCTTGCACTGTGCTAAAGCCATGATAAAGACCAGACAGACCAGCATCTCTTTGGTCTTTGTTCAGGACCTGCTTCCTGCTCTGGCACCTCTTTTTTGCTCCTAGTGCCTCTCTTGACCTGCAAGAGTTGAGTTTTAAGAGGAAAGGTAGTCTTCAGTTGTTTGACTATACAGAGTACTTTCCATCTAAAATATGTAAAAACTGTAAATAAAATAGGCTTGAATTCTGTCATTTTCCAGCTTTTGACTTTGCAAACAAAATTATGCTGTTAGAAGTGTCATATTTCTGCTATAATGGTGTAAACTGTAGCAGTGTTAGGAAAATTAAGACTATGCTAAAAGGTGAATCTATATGCAGGTAATATAAAAAAAGCCTTGGATGTGAATTGCTGATTCTTCTTTGTGACTTGCTGCAAGTTTGGAAGAGGGCAGTCTTGGGGAAAATGGGACAGAAGATGCATTCTTTCAGCATTAGTTCTCTAGCATGTGGAGGCTAAGAGCCAACTCCACGAAGTACCGTAACTACTGATGTCCAGTGCCATCTAACACTTCTACCAAACCTAACGCAGTTACAGATCAGAAACAGGCATGCTCACACGAGAGAACAAATGGAGGAGCTACAGGTATTCCAAGGTATTGGAAAATTCAGTTTAACAGTCTGGAGCAATAATAGAGTTGCAGTAACTACTTGGAAAGAACTTGTACAAAAGGAAGTATTGTTTCTTAGTTGATAGCAATCCTCAAATTTTTACCAATTTGTCAGGATTTAAAACTGAGGCGTGTGCTTGCCTCTTTCTGCTTATGAACACTTTGCATTGTTGTGGCTGAGATGAAATGTCTTCGTTCCATGTAAGAACTGTAACAGTTTTAAGGATTGTGAGAAGTAATACTGCTAACTAGAATCAAACTGATAATGTTTCTTGAGAAACTTCATTATCAAAGTTTCTGTTGCATATCCTAGCAGAGAGCTCTTTCCTGTTCTAGATAGCTCTGCTGATTTTCTAATACCCATCACTTGACTGACTTTAGCTTTGTTGTTGTTTTTAGGATTTCCTGTGGACCCACGTAAAGTCCTAATAGTAGCTGGCCACCACAATTGGATAGTAGCTGCCTATGCCCATTTTGCTGTTTGCTACAGGTATGAATATAGTTGCTTGTCAGGTTACAGGAATCTAAACAAAAATATGATAATTTGTTATGAGCAAAGCAAAAAGTTTGCTTTACTTTGAAACGACAGTAGATCACATGCATTCACATGCTGCTATAGATATGAATTGCCACTTTTGCTTGTGCCAATAAACTGCTTGATAGGAATTCAGATTTTGCTGCTTTGATGTCAATTCTTGATGCCATTGCAAAAGTAATCAATTTAACTGCTTCAAAAGCCTCTTTTAAATCAGGCTTTTAAAGAAAGGTTTATTTAAGAAGTTCTTGCTATTATATGGGTTTAAAGACAGTTTGTGAAGTTAGATTATCAACCTTGAATCATGGAAGTGATGTACCTTGTCTTAAACTTTTTTTTTTTTTTGGCTTAGCAGAACTGTTAAGCACTTTTTACTTCAGATGGATGGCTGAAAAATGTCTTAAAATGTCTCATAAACAAATGGGCCATTTTTTAAGATCAGGTGAAGATAACACCTTCATATTACAGAAGCTGTTTTTAGTTCACATCTGTTAGTCTTGATTTAATTGGTGGCTGTCGTTTCAATGGAAAGTAATGTTTTAACAAGAGCTGTTGCCAAAAACAAACACTGCTGTCACAGAGTGGTTCAGAAACAGAAGGAAAAATGAAGTGTAATGTGAATAGCTTCTTTCTTAACTGCCAAGCTGAAGCCATATTTTGCTGCCTTTTTCACTATATAGAACACTAATTTACTTGCGTAAACTTTGTAACTTAAATCACATCTAACTTGTTTCTTGTATTCACCACTGCAATTTGTTTTGCTTTAATTTGTACTAAATGTGGCTTCTCTTGCTCTACTTAATGTTCTTGTTTTCAGTTATGCTTAATTTGATCTGACTGGAGAAAGAGGCAATGATTTGCAATTGTCTTTTTGCTAATCGTCCCCTTCTTAGGATTTTATCTCTAACTGTTTTCCTTGGATGGTAGTTCACTTAAGTGAAAGATTCTCCCTTTTTCCTGCTTGGTAATCTACTTAATGAGACTTTTTACCATTGAATTTAAGTCATTAGTGATGCTTTTGATGAAGCGCGTCAGACTTGAATGGTTGCTGAAAGAGGGCACAGGTGAATTTAAAATGCTGCTTTTGTTCATAGTGACGGAAAGGAGCAGTCTTGTCTTGATTTGAATATTTTTTCTTCTGGAACTGCAGGAACTCTAGGAGTACAATGGTGGACTTTTCCCTCCTCCATTCTGCTCTTACACAGCTTTGGTAACAGTTTTTTTCCCCTCTGTGCTACATCTTAGTACCTATCTGTTTTTTTAATTGCTTAACAAGTGAATTTGCCCAGACTTTTAAATTGAGGAGACAGCATACACTTAAACCTATTTCCCTTTACTGACAAATTTTAATACAGCTTGCCTAGACTACTATGCTGCAGTCAAGTGATGTGATTTTTAAGATTCTCAGCAGGATTATTTTAATTTAAGGACAAGATCTGATTTTTAGCTAGCAACACTTCTCAAAGTAAATGGAAATTTGTAGTGGACTGGACAGTGAATCCCATGCAGTAAGAAATGAAGTATATTCCAATATTTAGTTCTGTGACTTTCTTTTATGCTGTTTGTAACAGGTATTATTTAAATACTTAAGAGAATTATTTTGGTAAAAAGCTATAGCAAAGCACAGTGCATCCTAAAGATAGTATTTTTTTTCCTTTTGAAGTATGTCAGAAATCTTCAAAACTTGATAATAAAGCTTCTGAGAATGTCTTGGTTGCATTTAAAGGCTTATGGATATTGCAGTCCTGCTCTTAAGTCACTTCACTACAATTTCTTCTGCATGCTCTATAGGTAGAGAACAGTGATCTGTGGTGCTTTATCTCCAGGCAGGACACAATGCTGAAGTAAAGAACGGCAACAGTGGCAAAAAATACTATAGATGCATTTCTGCTTTCCATGTTAACATTTATATAATTTAACTACTTAGATTTACTGTGCTCTAGCTCAGTTGCAGAGCATCTAAATGATTGCCTAAAATTAAATCAGATAAATTGCTTTTCTGGAATCATATAATTCTTTAAAATTGCACAGGCAAATGATTCTTTAAAAATAAAGCTTATAGTTAATTTAGTATACTCTGTTTACAGTATACCATAAGCAGAAAATGTGACTAGATAGCACAGCTTTGTGCAAGAGCATGACTGGGCGTCTTACATGATGTGTAAGACACCTTGACTCTGGAAATTGATAGAGATGTGTCTAAAGTCTTATGCTGAACCTCATTCTCTAGCATTTGGCTAGCCCAGGCTTTTGGCTGGATCATCCACATTGGTTCAGGCTTAGACTGAGATATCTGTTTCTGAATCTCTAACCTCTGCTCCCTGTGCCCTCTTTTGCCCTTCCAGAATTAAAGAATCATCTGGGTGGCAGCAGGTGTTCACGAGTCCCTATCTGGACTGGACAATTGAGCGAGTGGCTCTCAACGCTAAGGTGGTTGGAGGACCTCATGGAGACAAGGATAAGATGGTTGCCGTTGCCTCGGAGAGCAGCATAATCTTGTGGAGCATTCAAGATGGTGGTAGTGGCAGTGAAATTGGTAACTATAATTGCTTGTCTTTTTCTTTTTTTTGTGTGTGTTTAACCAGAAGGAAGTCTGTGACCTTATTTTGAGGTATGTATGACCAGCAGTGTTCAGTAATCAGTTTCACAAAGTGACAAACCAAGCTAAAGTAAGCAACGTGTTGGAGCATATTAACTTATTTCTTTGTCATGCTAGAGGAATCCTTTCTCAAAAACAAAAAGAAGAATAATAACGAAGTAGTCTGCTTACTGAACAGATACTAACTAATGCTGTTCAGTTCAGGTTGGGCTTTTGTGTGAAGATGCAAATTGAGTTAAACTTTTCCTTGGACTTGCATTTGAATCTAGGCCATAGCACAGAGGAACTAGTTTCTGAGATGAAGAGCTACAGCTATTGAGAGATTCTGTTCTTTTCTTTCCCTTGTCTTATTAAAGCCATATTTTTACATGGAGATGAGGAAGAGGCTCCAGTTCTTTATCAAACGTAGTTCATAAATGGAGTTTAGAAGATGAAAATTTCTTCCTTTTGTAACTTGTGTGCCTAGGTAGGGAAAAAGCACCCTGTACTGCCCTACAGGAATAGGAATTACTTCTTGTATACCTCAGCACTGAAGGACACGTGGTTAGGGAGGCTTTAGAAACATCAAGAAGACATTTTCAGAAGTAAATATTCCTTGGTATTGGTACTGCTCTGATGGCTTGGCTGACTCACTATTGTTCAAACACAGGGCAAGTTTGGGAGGCAGTGAAGGGAAAGTTATTAGGAACTTTGTCTAACCTTATCCCTGGTGTTTGAATCACTGCTATTATGCCAGTAATGTCTGTTTCCTCTGGCAGTGGATACTGCTAACAAAGGATGACAGCAATCTCCTAATGTGGATGCTTTTCTCTGAAACTTAATGCTGAGTTAATTTGTTATTAGAGGTATCTCAGTAGTTGAAGTCATGAGAATTAATGTGGTTGTTAATTAAAGTCAGAATGACCAAATATCAAATTTTGATCCATGTGCCTTTAAAGGAAGAGCTTGCTTGAAAGATGCTCAGGCAATTTCTATAGGTCTTGCATGAGGTAATACAGCCATATACTGCTCTCTGACTTGTGACTTACGGAGTTTTTGTATGTAATTAGGGTCAGCAAAACAGAAAAGGAGATTCCATTGTATTTAAAAAAAAAATAGATCTGAAAGATGTGTCTAACAGTTGAATGTGAAATATCTCTATTAAAGAGCGAGTAAATATTGTATTTGAAAAGCCTTTTCTTCTGTTATACCCCCCTTGACCAAATCTTAAAGGCGGGGAAGAGCGAGCGTAACAGCTGTACTCCTGTAATAGGCATTGCTTTAAGCAGTATGCTGTTACATTCCTCCTGCATTTTCTGGTTTGACTTAGCTGCTTGTGTTACCTTGGGGTTTGCAATAACATACGTGAAACAACATCTCAGATTTTTGGAAATCAAGTGCTAAGAGAGTCAAAAACCATAAGTGGAGTTTTACTTCAAACAAAAGCTCTGAACTATGCCAGTATCATAAGGTTCAGATAACTCAGTCTGTGACTGAACGTGGCAACTAAACTGAAAGAAGCACTTTTACTAAACAGGCCATATGCATTGAAGTGACTTTGTGAAACAAAGGAAAAGCCGCTTGGCACCAGGGGGAGCAGAAAGTAAGTGCCTACAGGATTGAACCTTTAGTCTGACTAACACTGAACAAAATGTACTGTTCGTCTTTTGGATAATAGGTCATGCTTCTTGGTTTAAAAAAACCTAAAATATCCTTGTGTTAAATTGTAAGAACTTGAATATAGCTGTCTTATTTCTTTGTAGTGGGAAATGCTTGCAGTCCTGCTTTGTGTTAGAGTGCATTGCTATCATCTTGTGAAAGAAACTACTTGTTCCAAACAGTCATTGAAGCCTGGCGACACCATCCTCAGAAAATTGTGTGGGCTGGCATCTTTGTGATAGAGCTCTCCCAGAGCGCTCTCTTTCCTTTCAATATTACTTACATAAGCCACTGCTGCTGCATTGCTGCTGTAAGCAGTATTTTACTGAGAGGGACCCTTAAGACAAGAGCCTGTCATTACATATAGCATTGTCTCCCCTGTGGATGGGTCTCAAGATTGTTGAGCCTAAGCAGGACTGACACTTCAAATTCCTCCAGACCATTCAAGCTGTCTTCCTTGATTTCCTTGAACCTCGTCCTTCTCTGGAGTAATCAATTCTAGTTGTTTCTGTGGATTTTTTTATTGTTGCCTTTTTCATGTGGCCTGTACTGCTGAATCTTATCTGCGTCGAATGATTGTACTGTGCCCTGGAAAACAGTTCAGTATCCTAATTAAAAGAGAAGTATAAATTGAGCTTCCCAGGGTTCCTTTTTGGGTGTAACAGAAGACTGCTTTTGGTTGGGAATGGCACTCTGTTCATTTGAACTTGTCCAAAACAACGTTGAGAAATTTTCCAGCTGTTTGGTACTCTTGTTTTGAAGGCATCTGCCTGATGCAGTTAAAGTACATTAGTGAGGAGTGATATAAATATGTAGAGCGAGCAGTATGGAATAAGAAACTTGAGAGTGAAGCTTGACACTTTGTAGTGTAACGTATGATTTTTGTGCTTAGCAGGCAGTAAAATTTAGCCTGGAATTACGTACAAACTGAGTTACTTACAGGGCCAGTTTGCTGCACTTCATAGCTGGCAAACTTGGAAATGATCTCTGTCCGTTTTAGTTTGCTGTAACTTTTAAATACATGGTACAATAAAGAGTACAAAACATAGTATGCTATCCAAGTTTGCAATTCAGTTAAAAATATTCATATTGGATCTATGATGAGACTAGGAAGCTCTAAAGAGAGGACAGATTTTGTGGAAGACCTCAGCTGTTAAGGTCCACTAGAACCATAGCCATCAATGCCTGTTGTGTTCTGCACTGTTTTGATTTTTGTTAAGTGAAATGTTCTTGATGCCACATATGCTTTATTTGGAAGGCCAGCATTTGCTGGTAAGTCTTATCTTCCAGATTTGGAGTAGTATGTGATGATTCGTGAAACTGGTTCCCTGCATAGTTTTAATTTTTAATAGCCTGTAGTCTCTACTCACAGACTGTAACCAAACTTATAGACCTGGAGATGAAAAGAGAAAGAAAGAAAGAAATCGGCTTTTGCAGGCTGCTTATTTTTCCGGGTTCAAGTATTTCTGCTAAAAGAGAAATTTGAATGTATTCAAGTAGTGTCACATCGGGGTTGTTCAATCTTTTCCAATGAAGCAGGATGAAGCCTTGTAGCCATATTTAGTTTCTAAAGTATATTTTCGCACTACGTCTATTTGATTGGACTTCAAAGTTCTCAACACATTTTTTTTTAAATACTGTAAAAGGTAATTTGCAGACTAGTATAGCATAAATTTGTTTGTCTGTCTAGCAAAAACTGAAATTACTACTTCTTAAATGACAATTAGTAGTCACAGATTAAAAAAACCCCACAAACCAATTAAAAAAAAAAACCCTGCTTGCCATAGAAGGATTTTTATTTATTAATTTTTTAATGCCTTAAGATCTATAAAGCCATTTGAGAACGCGATGGCTGTAGAAAAATAAGGAATAAGTATTTCGCATGGGCTCTCCTTCCTTCTCGTGCCTCGTTTCTCCTTCCCAAATAATAATTGCATCAGCAGACATGACATCATGCTGCCATTTAATTTAATGGAATCCAGTTTGCTCCTTGAAACATACCTTACCTAGCACACTGCAAACCCAGTTTTGGCTGTTCTTTACCTGCTACTGTAATAAATGTGACATGGTAATAGTGGAGAGATTCCATTGTTACTGTTTTTTTCTCTTTATTTTAGATGAGCTTCATAGACTCTTCATTTTTTGTAGGAGTGTTCAGTCTTGGAGTCCCTGTAGATGCTCTCTTCTTCATTGGCAACCAGTTGGTAGCTACAAGCCATACAGGGAAAGTGGGAGTGTGGAACGCTGTGACTCAGCATTGGCAGGTGTGTTCAACTCAATTTTCTGCATCACTTTTAATAAGCTGGTATGCCTTTCTCGTAAAAAGAGAATAAAATAATCTAAAAGCATGTGTGAAACGCTTACCCCACAGGGTTTTCAGCCCTGACTTGTGTCACCAAGTTTGCCACTTTGGTATCTGAGTATTGTGCCTGTGAGCAGAATGTTGAATGGTTTGGTGGTACTACCAACCGTGCTTTTTAGGCTTTCAAATAGAAGGATGTGGTGTGGTTTGGAGAAATACATGTTAAGTGTGTGTATATTTAATCTTCTTGTGAATTACTAACTTCGTAAAAATTCACTAGGGTTATAGAAAATAAAAACATTGTGGAAATAAAAAAATTGTGGAGAGTGCATGACATCAATTTCTGCACTGTCTGAAAGAAGAACGTAACAAGGTAGCAGTCTGTTATCTGGGGATCTCAAAAGTTGTTTTACAATGGGAGACTGTTCTTCAGCAGAACTATACATGGTGCTTTAAGGATCTCTCTTGCATGTGGACGCTTCTGGCTGCAGGGACTATATTCCTATTGTCAGAATGTGTATTGAATAGAGAGATCCTTGGAGTTTGAGAAAACACTTGAGCATTCATAGGACTAACAAAGCTTATAACACAGCCAGATGTACGTCTTTGTGGCACAAAACCTGGATGCAATGAAAGTCCAAAAATTGGTTTGCAAATCTCAAGAGGCAGAACTGACCTGAGGCTGCTGCACTCTTTTCTGACTAAGTTCTGATTCGACCCCGAAGTGAGGGTACTGCTTAAAAATGATGTAGATAATAAGCATGGGGTAGCACAGCTTCTGCAGCACGCAGACATGTTAGTATGGTCTTGAATTAAACAAAACATTATTTTAAGTTCTATTGATGCCTTGCAAAATCTTCTGTTAAGAAACAACTTAATGCTGTTTGACAATATTTTCTAAAGGAGCAAGTCATCAGGAATAAAAACCCATGTCCCATTCATCTTTATTTCCAGAGGGAGCCACAGGAATCTTTCTGAGCACATTAACAGTGCCTCAGTTTGACTGACTATTCCTTTGAAAGCATTTCTTATTGAAGAGTAGAAAATCGGGGGCTTGCATGCCAGGATGTCCTAAAACCAAGTTTTTTGGCTCTATAATTGTATTTTTTTTTTTTTTTCTAGAGGATGAGAATAGCTCCCTTTTTTAAAAAAATTGCAAAACACCCACAAGAAAAAACCACCACAAAACCAAAACAACAAACAAAAACCAAAATCTAAGCAAAGAACCCCCAAATACAACCAGTTTCAAGGTGCTTTCTGTACCTCAGGCTCTTCTGTTAGTAAGGAGGGGAAAAAAACCCTATCTTTCTATAGATTTTCGTCTCCCTTAAGAACACATTCTTCTTGAAGAACCCCTTAAAGACTGAAGTAGCAGGGTTGTACCTCTGATCTTCAAGTGCTTTGTGAGAATACATGATATTTGTGTAACTGCTTTCCATGAGTTGCCCATAGCTCTGGACTTAGGATGTAATTATACTGTCTGCAGCGAGAGAGGTTTCGAGGAACAGAATATGCCAATGCCCTGTTTCAGACCAAGAACTTTCCTTTCATGCTTTCTTTCTTGATGCCTTTCTAAGTTCTACTTTAAGGAGGCTTAATTTGTGCAAGCCTCACTTCCTTACATTGTGGTTTTTGTGTTTGATGTGTTACACCCTGAAGATGTAACTGACTTCTGCCTCTAATTGTTTCTGGCATCTTCTTCCCATCTTGGAGATTTGAGCAGACTAGCTGAGGTGGTTTCCCTAGTACTTATTCCTCTGGCAATGTTTCAGTTGCATGCAACAAGGAGAGGAGGTTGTGGGTGCTACATACATCTGCAATGAAATTCTTGGTGTAGGAGAGCTTAAAGGAAGCAGAATATTAAGTCTTATAGAATAAGAGGTAACATAAAGCAATAGTGTGTGACAGCAAAACTTAGTCTGCAAAGTGAGGATTCTCACTGGCCATGTTTTACCAATGACTGTTGTATAGCGTTCCTCTGTTTCTTAACAAAAGGTCACGTCTGGTTGCTCCTGGTGTTCCTGTCTCTGCTGCAGAAGGGCTCTCCTTATTCTGTATGATCTCTTTGACTCAGTCAGTCTATCTCTGCTGTTGGCAGCATTGTGCTTCCTCTTGCTCAGACTTTTTCTTGCAGTGCTTATGTCTTCTGCAAGGTGATGAGTAAAGTGGTGTAGCTATTGATGGGTTGCCTTTACCTTCATTAGTTTTGTAAACATTTTGCAGATGAGAGGGCTCCACAGAACTGGAGAGCACACTGCATCTTGATCCATAGACTCTTTGATGCTGAGACTTTGTTTAGTTTCTTGCCTTTCTTTACTTTTAGCATTGGATCTTTGCTGAATTATGGGTGAACATAAGTGAGAGAGGCGTAGTTCTTTAAACAAAGGAAGGAAGGAAAGTGCCTCCTTATTTTTCCCCCCCCCTCCCAAAAATATGCAGAAGCTATATTCATGTTGTAGCCTTCTCTGTAAGGCTAAGTGATAGGCTTAGAATATGTTTTAGGGGCTTACGGACTATCCTTAGGTTAGGAATGGGTACTGGTTTAGAGTGTGGTGTTAGTGTGGGGAAGTTTCTTTGGTTGGTTTGTTTTGCATTTGTCCAACAGATTCATTGTAGATATTTTGCAAATGATTTTGCAAGTCTCGGAAGCAATCAGAAGGATGCTGCTGGCCAGAGAGAAATGAGAACATAAGCTTAAATTTCCATGAATTAGTATTCAGTGACCATTAAGTGGACTAACTGAAACACATGGAGCACAGGAAATTAGCTTCAGATGTCTGTCCCACCTGAGGGGATAAGCACCCCTTTTCATCCTAGAGGGCAAAGAGGGGGCATTCTTAATCCCGCACCTGAAGTTGTAGACCAGTAAGTAAAATATGACAGGGCTGGCTTCCAGTTTACTTGGTGTGAATGTGTATTGGAAGTGGGAAATTGTAATGGGACAGGATTTTTTTTTCCCCCCTGATTATATATCTGCTAGAGGTTGAGATCTCCACAGAGGCTGGCCTAGGGATACAAGAACTGGAAGTAAAGGAAGGCTTAGAGAGGTGACATCTAGTTTCTTTGCCCAGCAACCTCTTAAGGAGTTGTCAGAAATGGAAGAAGGGATAGGACAGAAAGTGTGAAGTACACTAATTTTGCATGTTGGAAAAAAAATCCTCTTTTGGAGATGTGGGTTAGCTGCAACACTCCAAGTTTTGTGCCTTCACATGGAGAAGGGTCTTCCAGAGCAGTTGTGCTAACTTGTCTGCATGCTTCTGCTGAACTCCATGACTTAAGATCTGGTTTGGTGGAGGAATGTGATCTACCAGCACTACTTTAAGAATGTCATTGTATGTGTGTGCACAACAGCTTCAGACCAGTACCAGGCTCAGGTGTTCTTCAACAAAATGTACCAAAAATGTCTGAAAACTGAGAAAGTAGCAACCTGTCTTTTTTTTTTTTTTTTTTTTTGCTTTCTGTTGCACTAGGTTCAGGATGTTGTTCCTATCACAAGCTATGATACTGCTGGGTCTTTTCTGCTGCTGGGCTGTAACAATGGCTCTATCTACTATATAGGTAAGAATTGGGGCTAGGATGGAATAAAAAGGAGGTGGTACCTAAGCTGCTTTGTTATTAAACTCTTTAGTTGGTCTAAGTTGCATCAGAACAACTCTGTCTATTCAAAGTAATAAACAAATGTCTCTTCCCCACAGACATGCAGAAGTTCCCATTGCGAATGAAGGACAATGATCTGCTAGTGACAGAATTGTACCATGATCCCTCCAATGATGCCATAACAGCACTCAGTGTCTACCTCACACCTAAAACAAGTCAGTATTCTATCACTCTCTCTTCAGTAAGAGTCTGTTACAGTTATGTTTTTTTTTTTCCTAAATGGACCTCTTCTATTGCTGCATAGCAGGACTGAAGCAGACAAGGTAGCCCTTAACATAAACAATGAATTTTTCTTCATTTAGTCATCTTCACATAAATGATGAACACTAGGCATAACTGTTTCCCCTTGCATCTGTACACATGTATAAATAGGCACATGTGCTTACATGTATGTGTGCATGTACTTGTACATTGTGCATTATACCTTACTGTATAATGTGATAACATAATGCATCATGTATTAATCCTTGTGCATAATGTACCTTTGCTGGTTTTAAGCCTTTTACACAAGACATGCACTTAGATTATGAATTGTATTCACTGAAATAGTTTGTGGTGAACTGGGAGGGGGAGACAACCTTGCTGTTGCATCTAACCTTATAACCACTGTTCTAAAACTATTTCCATATGCAGCTGAATGATGCTTAGCTATTGTGTCAGTACACCCTTTTTTAATTACAGTGCAGCTATCTTTTAAATAAAAAAACAAAAAAACAACAAACAAACAAAGCCAACCTAAGTAAAACCCAAAAAAACCCTCCAAACTGGGAGAAAGTGGTTACTCACATAGCTGTGTTGATACCATGGTGACTTTTTTAACTATAGTCCTCCCTGCTCTTTCCTGGCTTTCCCATTTGCCTCCCACTAAGGCAGAAAAATAAACAGTATGTGGCACATATCAACCATATCACTGTGAGGACTGCCAGAATATCTGATCTCATTACTTTATCCGTCTCTTCTTTTACTTCTAGGAGGGAGGAGAGAATGGGAGAGTAGGCTGTTGTTAAGACAGTGTTGAAGAGTGTAGTATGGAGTTGTACAAAATTTGGGGTTTTGTAGTGGCAAAATGTCCTCTCTGTTTGTGGGAAAATAATGAGTAAACAGTATTTAAAACAAATATCTATCTTACTGAGGAAGCTTGAAAATACTGGGTTTTACTGCCTCATTCCCAGGCCCCAGTAAGACAAGTTTTCATTCCTGGGGTGGGGACCAACTGTGTCCTTGCTTGCTTTAGGTGTAAGTGGCAATTGGATTGAGATTGCATATGGCACCAGCTCTGGAGCAGTGCGGGTGATTGTACAGCACCCTGAGACAGTTGGGTCTGGGCCTCAGCTGTTTCAGACCTTCACAGTTCATCGAAGTCCCGTCACGAAGATCATGCTCTCGGAGAAACATCTTGTGTCAGGTAATCTTTTTTTTCTGCACACAAATTTGTATTGACGGTTTTCCCCTCCTCGTGACCAATGAGGAATTTGTATGCATTGCTTTTTAACTGGCTTTGTTCCCACATGTGATAGAAATGAGTTGGACAGATGGGGGGGCAGGCAGGGGGCCAGATTGGCTTGGATCCTCCTCCTTAAGTTAAACATTCTTCAAAGCCTTTAGCAGTTAAGAGGCCTAGGTTTTATTTGACCATATACTGGAACAACTAACTCTTTCCTTTGTGTCTTACTCCACAAATAGCAACCTTGGAATTAAAAGGGTTTGTGAACAAATGTATCCCTGTCAAGTCTTATTGTTGTGGGCAGGTCCTTTAGGACTTCTCTTCTTTTAACAGCCTTTCAGGAGCTTTCTGAGTTGCAGCAAAATGTGCACCATCTCCTCTTGGGCCCTAGAAAAAGCATTGCCGTGGCTCCAAAGGGCTGTCTGTGTTTCTTCTTTTCTTAGCTGTCTGCCAGTGTTCGTTGTGCTATCCTGTTTGTCCTGTCTTATGTTCAGGGAAGTATCTTGCTTTCAGGGAAGATGCAGTCATTCCTTCATCTGTAAGAATTGGTTTCACCCAGAATCCAGCAACCAGGGTATGGCAAAGAGCAGATTTACTTTCTGCTGTTATCCCATTTTTTTTAAAAGAGGAACAGGAAACATGGTATCCAATTATATTGCAAACAAACAGCCCAGAGGTCATCTGTTCCCCTGCAACTTGGTGTTCAACCTGCAGTCCCAGCAAAGGGCACATCTGTATGTAGAAATCCGAGTAACTGATGGATGAAATAGAAGACCATGACTGTGGGATAGGGGTTCTGCTGCCAGGCTGCTCTCATGATATGTCTCTGCACACAGAGGACTCAAGTGTGCTGTAGGCTACTGGTGCTGACTCAGTCAGACCTTAATGCTGTGTTCCACCTGCCTCAGTTTGTTTCTTGAGTTTCTGAGGGAAGAGACAAAACTAACAGAAAACCGGCCATCAGCAAGAATTTGTAGATTGTTAGATAATTGTCTGGAGATGCTGTGTGACCTGACATTGAGCGATCAAGCAGAATCTAGTCAATCTTGAAGAACTATTGTATAGAAATCATTGGAGAAGTTTATGTCAAAAGTTTTGTCATCCCTTGTAAATGTTATTGTACATCTTTTGCTTTGTAGTTTGTGCTGATAACAACCATGTAAGGACATGGACTGTGACTCGGTTCCGGGGCATGATTTCAACTCAGCCAGGCTCAACACCTCTGGCATCATTCAAAATCTTATCCCTGGAGGAAGCGGAGAGTCATGGCAGTTACTGTTCTGGAAATGACATTGGTAGGTTGTCTCTCGAATGCGCTCTGCTGAGCCTGTACATTCACTGATATCATAAAGGTTTAACAGACCTTCAACCCTGTAACATGCAAGTCAGCAGATGGGTGTGATGCTCTTGCATTCTGCTCTCGTCTTGAAAAGGTTGCAGGAATCTGTAAGATTCACCTGGAAAAACTCACTATTTAAGCTGCATAGAGTTGAGTACACTTAAAGGGCTTACTCTGAAGGTGAGAAAGGGAGGAGAAACTTTTGAACACAGATACTATATCTCTTCCTTGAGCGAACTGATATGTAGCATTTCACTTTTGGTTTAACTAGAGAGTGACAGAAAGCACAGGAGACTGTTAAAGCAGATGAGCATGGCAAGGTTTGGGTCTACTGCAAATTCCGGTTCACTGTTGAGACGGTGTTAAGTGATGCGCATATGAAAAATTCTTAAATGAACTTGAAGATGTGACAAAGTTTACTGAAGCCTTGAAACTGCAGGGGCAAATGGTGCTAGCACATTGCTATAGCAAGATACTGAAGGAATGCATGTCAGTAAATGTGGGTAGACGGGTAGGCTAGATTCCTTTGTGGTCTGAGTCTTGCAAATGAACCTTTGATGAACAGGGTGCTCTGTGAGTACAGGGTGGGGACAGTACTATGGCAAGAAATCTGATTAAGCCTTTAGACATCTAGGAGCTGCAAAATAAGAAAGTACTTATTATAGAGGCCTAATGTAGGGTTTGTACTGACATAGTAATTCCTCCAGGAACATACAGGAAACTCAAGAATGGGTGTCCTTTAAAACAGAAGAACAAAAAATATTTCTATCTGTAGAGGCTTCTAACTATTGGATGCCTTTTTCTAACTATTAGTCATCTTTGGTTCCCTGGTCCTGGTGCTTTAAAATTGCAGTGGTCATAATAATTTGAGTTTGGGTCTTCGTGACGGTGTGGGGAAGAGGGTGAGGGAATTGAAACAAACAAACAAATGATCTGTCTTTATTTCTCTAGGACCCTTTGGTGAACGTGATGATCAACAGGTGTTTATCCAAAAAGTTGTTCCCATCACTAATAAGCTGTTTGTAAGGCTGTCTTCAACTGGGAAAAGGTACTTCCATGTTCAGAGTTTTAAGTGGGGAAGGAGCAGGACTGTTCAGGTGGCAGGGTCTCCCATGCCTTGGGTGTGCATGCAGTTGCACTTAGCAAGCGTCTGATGTGCTTGACAGCTCTAGCTGAACTCTGGTTTGTGTGTTAATAACAGAACTGTACTTAATGGTCTACTATGACTTAGAAGCTAAATGGCATTTGGAGAAATGAGACTCACTTCATGACAGAACATTTGTGTGCCTCTACAGAATCTGTAACTCTCAGCCAGGGTACCATGCTAACATTAAATTTCAAAACTAATGCTGAAGATGCTGGTGGCAGGGATTATGCTGCTCACAAAGGTAGACAGGGAAGCAGTTTTTCTCCTGCTTTGCACTTGTCTTTGAAGATATTAAAACCCTTAAAACTGAGAGACTGTCTTCTAGGTCAGCCATACAATTACTTACTTAGGCTTGACTTCATAATCTTCTACTGCGTTGCTACCAATGTAGCAAAAAAGTTGCCAAATAACCACAGCTGTTTTTCTTCCTGTTAGGCTAGGAAGATGGCAAGAGATCAGAAAAGATGGTGCATCTCAGTTCTATGCTGCTTATTATTCTTGCATCTCTTGCCTAATAACTTTGAATCTGTGTGGAAATGTTGATGCCTTAACACTGTTGGCATCTGAATTGAGGACAGAAGCCCTGCAGATTACTTTAAATATTTTTTTTTTTTTTTTTTTTCTTTTTTCAGCTGAGATTTGTATGTAGTGGAGAGTTTTACTAGATGACTTATATTCTGGGTGATTTGTTTTACTGGCCCCCTGTATTGAGCTTTTTACCCAAGAAGTGCCAAAATGTGAGGTTCTGTTGTGGAGTCCAGCTTAGCACCTTAGTTTTGGGAGTTCTTTTCCTCCTAATTCCCACATAAGCTTCTAAAATAAAGGGAAAAAAACAGTGAAGATGTGCCATGTCAAGTGCTATTGCAGTTGTTATAAGACAAAAGTTATCTGTGTAGATAACCTTGGATTTATCATCCTTGGATTTTTTGGCGTACATTTTATATGGTTGAGTGTGCTGTTTCTGCAGGTTAGTTTCCTAGAGTGTCTGGCATATGAAGGGGCTAGTTGGTGTCATTCTTGTGAAAGCCTTGGGTTTCTAATCATTGCAAAATGAAAATGGACATCAAACATATGGGAGTCCCCTAATAAAAAGAAACAAGTAGTGAGACTGCAGGTGGATTGGGGGGAAGGTGCTGTCTGCAGCTGAGCAGCATGCCGTTGTGCAAGGGGAGGGATTTTGTCTGGAAGAAAGGTCTTTTTCTGATAGCAAGTTTGGTGCCTGCTCAAAACCAAAACAGTGCTGACTTTACTGGCCAGACTCTGCCAGGTGCAATTGTTTTGGTAACTTGGGGTTTCTCCTGCTGTAGGATCTGTGAGATCCAGGCAGTTGACTGCACTACCATCTCGTCATTTACTGTGCGAGAATGTGAAGGATCCAGCAGAATGGGCTCCCGGCCACGCCGCTACCTGTTCACCGGGCATTCAAATGGCAGCATCCAGATGTGGGACCTGACCACAGCCATGGACATGGTTAATAAGAGTGAAGACAAAGGTAAGTTGTGTTATGCCAGGACTGTGCTGTGGTTCTTTCTCTGTCCTCACATGTGCATGACTACGGTAAATGGGCTTGGGTGCTCAGAGCTGTCTCTTTCAGATATTGGCGGCCCCACAGAGGAAGAGCTGCTCAAGTTGCTTGACCAGTGTGACCTGAGCACATCTCGCTGTGCCACACCCAACATTAGTCCTGCCACCTCAGTTGTTCAGCCAAACCGGCTTCGGGAATCTAATTCCAGGTAAGTCACCAAGGCCGGTGCCATCTGCAGACAGCACAGGTTTTACCCTTTGGGTAGGCAAAGAGGGCTCTGGTGACCTGAAGGCTGTAGCTGAGCCCTTGAATCCATGCCCTAAGTGTCTCGAACCACATGCACATACTCGTCAATTTCTGTTGGTTTATATGTGTGCAGAATAAACCATCCTATGAGAGGCTGAAGTAGGTGATCCAGAAGCCCTTGTGTGGGGGTTATGATGAGTATGTTGCTATTTAAGGGAGTTGCAGTGATGGTTGGGAGCAGGGTGTGCAGAAGAACTGGCTGCTATTCTCAGCCTAACATCTGCTCTTCTTGTCCTTGGTTGTTTTTCTTTTTTGAAGCCTCCAACTGCAGCACCACGAAACAATCCATGAAACAGCCACGTATGGTTCTGTACGGCCGTACAGAGAAAGCCCCTTATTGGCAAGAGCAAGGCGGACGGAGAGCTTTCACAGCTACCGGGACTTCCAGGCATTTAACTTACCCAGCAAAAGCCCAACAGAAAAGGCAGCTGCTGCAAATGGGAATTCGAGCCAGACAGAGACCAGGAAGGCAACAGCTGAGGGCGGTGCGGCTGAGAGGAAGACTGTCCAGACAACAGCACTGGAAGGACGAGGCACAGGCGTGACAGATGCAGGTGGCTGTTGCAGTACAGAGGTTCACCGTCTGCCAGAGAATTCCCTGGATCTCAGAAGAAGAGGACCAGAAGAGGAGAGCGAAGCCAAAGCAGAAGGCAAAAAGAAAATGGGGTTTGAGGGATCTGGCTTTCTGGGAAGGAAGAAAGTGCCCCTCCTGGCCTGTGCACCAGTCCTTGCTGAAGGTGGGCCTGAATTACCTGGTGCGGCTTCTCCATCACCTACGATGGCTTGTGAAAACGCAACTGGTGGCAAAGATGAGGTGCAGGTGCCCTCTGGCTGGTGTTGTGGTTGTTTCTTGAAGGGGACTCTGTTCTGATACCCAGGATGAAAATTGTAAGGTTATGAGAAAGTACCTGGCTGCTGCCAAACCTTTGAAGAGTCGTCCACGTCAGTGTGTGGCTTTATGTAATGCTCCGAATTGTAGTATGGTACTTGGTCCAAAATATTGTTGTGCATTCTTGCATAAATGTGGTCAGGCATGTGATATGTTGTGATTATTCTTGTTTTTGGGGAAGGGAGGGTGCTAAAGGAATACTCGGTTGCTCAGTGGAAGATGCCTTTTAGCTGCAGCCACGTTGCTCTGCAGAGCTGCTGCTGTCTTGGCTGGATTTTGCCTAATTCACAGGGCTGCCATTGTAGTCTCGTTTTATGAATGGGATCCTTGCTCTGTATGCTGCTGTCTGAAATCTGAAATGTTTTGTCCAGGTTAAGGAGGAAGCTATTCAAAATAGCATATTATTTTGCATCTTAGTCCAAATAAATTGCCAGAGGAGTGTTGCTTGTGCTTTCTGAAAATGTGTGGTATCAGATGATGGGTTTTGCTGATTGTGACTGAGAGCATGCATAAAAATATGCTTGGCAGAACACACAGAGCTGGCAGTCTCTTGAGGGCTTCCTTGTCACTTTCTCTGGAAAAAGGACAGAGATGAATATGGGAGTAGGTTTACTGTCATGGTGTAATAATTCTCAATTACAAGTGCCTTGACATGATATTTCCTGCCTGTGTTGCACTGCCTGCTTGCTGTTCGCTCCTGGTTTACTGTAGGTGGTGAACAAATTTCATTGCCTGTACATTAGTAATACATAAGCAAAGGGAACTGTGACAGCAAGTGTTTAATAGGGAGTGGGTTAGGAGGTTTTCTACCTCTGAAGAAAGCATGCTTGGAGTGAAGTGTTAATTAATGGGGGAGGGGGGTGTTTATTATTTTTAGACTTGAGCCGAGAGGGTGGGGAAGAGGGAGGGAGAGGACACAAAAGTTAAAGCAACGCCGTAAGAATTCCTTCATTTGGTGTTTATTTGTCTGGGCATTAACACAATTTGGTGGTGGAGATTTGTCAGGCCAGGAAAAGACATGGCTGTGCTGCCACAAAGGCCCCTTTTAGCTGGGTTTTAGACAGGTAAAAGACTTTTTCGTGCCAAACACGCTGCCCCCCCTTCCACCCCCACAACCCTCATCAGCTGTGGAAGTTGGATGAGGGACAACGATGAGAGCCTCTGCTTTTACAGCCTTCTACTGCTGTATGACTTGGGGATTTTCAAACTCTTCTCTTACCTTTCTGAGGTGTCAGTGCTAACACACAGGTTTTGCTACACAGTTAAAGACGGTGACAAAAAGGCCAACTTACCCCCCCCACACACACACACATCCCCTCCCAACAAACAGTTTTAACTAGTGGGCATGGGGTGGGCAAACAGCAGCGCTGTCCCCTTCCCCCAGGCCATGCAGGCTGCTTTTGGCAAGTTACCCACTTTGCATTTTCTAGAGAAGGTGGTTGTGTTCTTCAGAGGTGGGTGTCGGTGAACGTGGTGTGCTCCTTGGTGACTGTGCTGAAGCCTTTGATGACATTGACAAGATCTTCTTCATCTACATACTGTTAGGAGGGGGGAAAAAAGGCACGTAAGGCAAAGCTGTACCAGACTAAAGGAGATTCCTTCATTTCTCTTTCCTCCCACTCCCTAAAAACTGGTTCTGAAACAGTCAGATCAGTAAGTCAATTTCTAGCTCTCTATGTATTTCCCATTCTTCCCAGCATGAGGCAAGAACCTGAAGCATTCAAGTACCTAAATCCAAACCATCCAGATTTTCATAGTAAGCAATAAGTTAAAAAAAAAAAAAAATCAATTGCTCTCTCTATATAGTGTTTGTCATAGTGTGATGGAGAACTTGGAGAGATGAAAAAGAATACATATTTACAGTTTTGTATAACAACCCTGTCTCTCGTAATTTAGATAAGATTTTGTTCTTCAAGCTTCTAAAGGAGCGTCTGAGCTTCTTCCAACTGCACTTGTCCTAATGCATCGAGCCAGAGAAAGAGTTGAAAGCAGGAGAGAAATAAACTGTCTGTTTCCACAGCATAAAGGGATCACCAGCAGTATTACTGCAGATAATGTGGCCTGGGTCACTTCAGCCATTCAGTATATTAATTTGCAAGATGGACAAAGGGGTGAACAAAACTTGCTGACAGTCTCAAGCCACAGAGTGTAACAAAGGAAGGAACTGAGTGAAAACCATGGCAGGAGGTTTGTTTGCAAGAGAGTAGCTGAGCAATACAGGAGCAGAGACAGCTAGGTTCAGGGAAATGTAAAGCAATGTACAGAGGGTGGACAGAAGAGCCCAGCTTTGCATCTATAGGTGCTGATTTTAGAAGGCGGCTGAGCTCATCAGGCTGTCAGGGTTGTTTGCCACCAAATGTGAGAGGAAGTTTTTGTTCTGCTCCTACTATTTCTGAAACTCATTGGACTATTCTGTAAACCAGTTCTAACATTACCAACATCCAGCATGTGACTGGGGGGTTTGCAAGCTAAACCAAATCATGGTGTTAAGCACAAGATAAGCAGATAGAGCAAGAGCTTCCTCTCTCAGCAGTGGGAAGCTGTTATTCTGGCTAATGAGATCCTATAGAGGTACACCCTGGGTGGGCTGTTAGTCCCCAAGGAGTTAAATCATGAGGATATGATAGCTCTGAGAAAGCGACTCAAGGCTGAGTCGCAGTGTCCCTGACTGGGGCAGATCAGTGCAGGCTGGAAGGTTAACCTGTACCTGTAGAGGTTTTTGCCTAGAGCTGATGTCTCTATCTTCTTTCTTAACCTTATCAGCTTCCTTGGTCCTGCTGTTATGGTCTAAGGAGCCACGGCAGCCATGGTAGCAACACTCCCGTGCTGCAGCATGCCTGTACGTTCCAGCCCTTCTAGTAGTGTGGTGCACTGAAAGTGAAAGCCCAAGGAAGCGGCCTGGACCATCCTTCTCCAGTTCACTTTGCATTTTGGACAAGATCCACTCAATGATAACTGCATACTCCATCCAACTTTGTTACTACCTCACATGCCCTTCACCCCCATCTGTCCCCATTTGAGGAACCTTATTAGTGTTTTCTGCGAGCAAACACGTCTCTCTGGCTCCCGGACCCCCTCCCACACATTTGCTCAGGGAAGGGTGGAAGCCACAGGAGTGAAGGTTAAAAAGCCAATTTCCTGTAGACAAAGAGGAAGGGAAATTGCCACTGTCATTGACTTGAGAATCGTAACTTATATCTGTATGTTCAAGTCCATGTTAGTGACACTGGCCAATCCTCTCCGCTCCTATTTTAAAAGACAGATACTCTGCCTGCCCCCACAACCTCCTAGTCCCATGTGGACAGAGTTTGAAGTCATTTGCCACTGATGCCAGAAGATCTGTGCATTCACATGATGTCTGCATCATGAGCATAAGCAGAGGACAGAGAGAGCAGGTCTTGTCAGCAATTGAGTACAAGGTCACAGAACAAGAATCACCACAACACAAGCTCCTGCTTCTGGCACTGGGTGTGTGAAGGAAGCCAAGACGTCCCTCCTCACATGTGCACTTTTGCTTAAACGCATGGAAAGAAAAGCCTATCAGCTGACTAAATAGAAGGAACTCTTCAAGGTGCAGCTCCATGGTAGACCATGGAGTTGTTGGTTCAATGGAGACGATAGGCATATGCATGTGGACGCTTCACATCCTATAAGAGCATTGTGTGAACATCTGTGGCTCCAGGAGAGAGCAGTGGGCAGGAAGTGTTTTGAGGATCTAATCTCTGACCATGTCCTTCTAGGTCTTTTGGCTGTATCTCCGACAGCTTTTGATATTTAGACCTTTTCATGATTCTAACAGAGCAGACTTCTAACTAGCAGCTGGCACACAACAGCATCACAGAGGAACAGGAGTCCTTACCAAGCCACGACCAGCAGTGCGATGATTGCGAATAATGGCATCCCAAGGTGATTCTTCAACAAGAGACTTTTTGTCGTAGAGGTCAAGCAGCTGGCTGACACTACGATGAAGAGAGGATTGGGAATATGTGCGATTTAGCTGACTCTGACTTGGTCTCCTTGCCCTGGATGCAATATGGACACTGCGGATGCTCGTGGGAGAACCAGCTCCTGGAATTTTCGTATCTGCCAGCCCCTATGAGGAAGACACAAGCTAATAAATAAAAAATAAAGGGTGTGGTTTCAACCACTTTATCTAAACAAAACCAAAGCAGGAGTGGAAGAGAACAGAGAAACCCATGCTTCAAAACTCATGCACAGTTGTAAACAGGAAAAAAGAAAAGAAACCCCGACCTTTCCCCATTGTAGAACAATCATATGATTATAAAGAGAAAAAAACCAACCCTGTAAAACAGGACTTTCCCTGTTGTGTTTTTTTTTTTTTATATCTCCCTATTTTTTAATGAAAATAAAAAACAGGCAGAGGTCCAAAGATTTTTGACAACCAGAATGATCGCCCAGACTTGCACAGCAAGGGGATGCTAGCAGACTTCCTTTTTCAGTTAGCGTGACCAAGGAAAAGACCTTCACCCACCAGGAGACACATGCAATGCAAGATGCCGTCGTGCATGCTCTTTGGGGCATCTGCCACATCACACGTCTTGCAACTCTGCAAGCTAATGACTCTACCTCAGAGTGCATCGTGTAACTTTTGAGAGTGACACTGCTTGATGAATCGGACGTGTCAGCAACGGTCTCAAACTGAGATTAGAGAGGGAGGAAAAGCGTTAGGGCAGAGCCAAGGGCAACGCAGGCGCAGTCTGTTCCTTACGGAGGGTGTGAGGTAGCTGCGAGGTAGCAGGATGTGGGGGAGGAGGGGAACTGGCAACGGTGAGGCACGATTTAACTTTTAACTGGTCATCAAAGACGGTGTGGGCAGCCAGTGTTACTTGCCACGTGACCTACTAACAATTGTGAAACACAAGTGGTTTTGCCACTTCATAGTAGCTCTATCCTAACTTCTCAGATTAAGTCCAACTGACGCACTGTAGAACCTTCCTTTCTATTAAGTCCATGAGTTTCTAGAACAACAAAAAAAAAAAAAAAAAAAAAAAAAAAAAAAAAGAAGGGGCAGGAACATGGAAAGGAATTGTGCAGGCACGCCAACAGGAACATGGAAAGGAATTGTGCAGGCACGCCAACAGCAAAGACGTTTTAAAGTCAAGAGGAACAACACAACATGACAGACTGTAGAAGAAAAGGAATCAAAACCATGAAACCAAAAAAAAAGGTTTCTTATGCTCTTAGCCTTTGCCAGGAGAAGGGGCACGCTGGAAATCCCATTGTTTCCAAGCGCTCCTTCACGGAGGCACAGATGCAGCTTCTTGGCACCCAGACAAGAAGGAACAGAATGCGTGAAGGATGCTGGAGTCACTATCCTGCTTGATGGCGCTCACAAGGAAAAGAAGCTAAATGACAAGAATCACCTCGTAGCCTGTGCCTGGGAAGAAGCACGGAACTGGAGAGCACTGCTGCTTCTATTCTCAGTCTCGTAACAATTACTGTATTCCTTCTGTCTTCCTTTTCCTCAAGGGGTTGGATAGCACTACTGCTCTGCCACACAATGGAATGCGTTCTTTATCCAGATTTTTACAGAATTGTAACTTGTTGGAATAAAAATGCTGCAAAGCCTTCCCCTTTATCAGTTCCCAGCAGGCCTGCTCCCACCCCTCCAGTGCTCCCACTGTCGGTCTGCGTACAGAGATACACACGCACATGTTGTGAAAGTGTCATGTCCCCCCACCCCAACTTTTCCCTGCTTGCACTTGCTTTCCCCCAAATCCTCCTGCATGCAGCTTGTACTAGAGCAGTCCAGCTGGGTGGTGGGTGGATGCCAGAAAGAAATAGAGTCTCTCCCTAAGTTCTGCTTTTTGCAGGAACTTTTCATGGCTAGCTGACGAAGACTGCCAGATTGACCCTGGTCGGCCATTCACAACAGATTGCTGGGACAAAAAAGCTTCCTCTGAAAAGCACATTTTATCACCTACCTTCTCATAGCATGCCTTTTAGCTCTATTGGAGATGTCAGCTAACATCAGGTGGCATCGGTGGCATTGCATTTTCTGTGACTCCAGATCCAAAGTTTTCATAAGGCATCAGAATCATTTCAGGGCCTGCAGACCAGGCATCACAGGTACCTTGTTTGGACTAAGCACCTCTAGCCTGGCTCTTGGTGCCTTCATAAGTACACCAGACAGCCCTTTTCCTACACTGAACAGCCTTCATTGGGTAACCAAATGGTGGAAGGAGGAAGAAAAATTCCGTGTGTGTGGGCAGATAAAAATACAACATGATGGATATAGAACATAGCGTTTTACCAAACGTACCGGATGGGTTTCACCTGATGAGTACACACTCATTGGTGATGTTCTTTTCTGAAGTGGAACTAAAGGAGGTCTGTCTCGTGCATAGGGTTGCTTGTGGACTTTCCTTTGAAGAATTAAGGACAGAAGAATAGCCAAGAGGATCAAACCTAGAACTACCATCAACACTGCAAACCACAACTCGTTGTAGAATTTTGCACGTTTGGACTCTGCCTTGTCCTTCTCTCCAGGTGTTGTCAAGATCACACCTGTAAAAAGAGGGATTAGGGGAGAAAGCCAATGTTATTTCAGAAAGCATTTAACAATATGCTATCCCTTTCCTCGCTAATAAATTACACAGAAATTTAAGTAATTTTGTCGTCATGTGCTTATTTGCACTCATGTTCAAGGTGGCATAATGGTTCAATATGCTAGCGGGCTATAATAAAAAGCTTACTACCCTCAGGAGACCCTGCTTAAAGTTCTGGCATTGCTGCTCAGGCTGGAAATCACCACTGTATCAGCAGCTCTTGAGAAAGGAGGCGGTGGAGGTGGAATGCAAGAAAAAAAAAAGGGTTCTCCAAGTAACCTTGAGGAGTGGAAATGGCTATGGTAATTTCAGAGCAGTACAGGCAGAGGACATTCTCTCCAGCACTGTATAATGGCAGGCCTGTGCTGTTAAAAAGAGAGAGGGAGGAAGACTGAACCAAAATGAGTGATAAAACTAATACAAAAGCAGACAACAGGAAACATTTTACTCCTTCTTCCTCGGCCTGTTAGAAAAACCAGCCACTTGGTTGGCCTTGCTGATACACGGTACAAGCATAAGAAATCTCAGTGATAGGGTTGCCGGGTCATTTGCAATCCCACATGCGGACCCAGACTCTTGGCTGAGCAATTTCCATCACCTTTGCTTGCAAGCCTCCGCTGCAAGCTGCCTGTGGTGCCGACCGAGTCTGCAGTGCGCTCTGGGTACAAGGAGCAATCAAAGTAAAGGAGCAGACTGTGGGAGGTGATGGACATAGAGCAACTGGGAACATTTTATAACGCCTTTACAGCAGCCTCGCCTGAAATCCTGCAGGTGGATGGAGTGAACACATGAAAAGCGAGATAAGGGAAATGCAGTGTAAAGAGTCATTGCAAAGACAAGGCCCATTTTTTTTTAAGAAGCTGAACAAGATGCAACTCAAACAATAAACAAATTGGTAAAAATAATATGTCAGTTAGAACTGGTTTGAGATGAGCTTTACTTCCCAGAAAACTAAGGAGTTAAAAAACCTGAAACTTTACTGGTAGGTATCTATTACTCAATGGATGCCAGGTGACTGCTGTGTCATCACACCCAACACCTTCGCTTCCACGAAACGGGCAAAGGCCTTGTGGCCAGAAGGGAAGCAGCAGATGTTATAAACCAGGTCCTGACAGCATCTCATATGATATTCTCATAAACTTCTTAGGGGAACACATCCCAGCTGAAACTGCAGCCTGAGACTGGCTGGTTGGTCATAGGAAAGGAGCAGGTGGGTGCTTCGTGCCCCTCGCTGGGGTGGGTGGGGTGCAGGGAGGAGAGACAATGTATATTTTCATCGTCAAGCTGAGGAGGAATGTGAGAGGGCAGGATTAGAATTCAAGATAGTGTTAATTAGAAGCTAAAATCTGGAAGAAACCAGATTCTGTTCAGGAGGAAAAAGCACTACGTTTTCACCACAGGGAAGACATGGACCTGTTGGAGTGGGGCCAGAGGAGGGCCACAAAAATGATCCGAGGGCTGGAGCACCTCTCCTATGAGGACAGGCTGAGAGAGCTAGGCCTGTTCAGAAGAGAAGGCTGCAGGGAGACCCTAGAGCAGCTTTGCAATGCTTAAAGGGGGCTTATAAAAAGATGGGGATAAACTTTTTAGGAGGGCCTGTTGTGGTAGGACAAGGAGTAATGGTTTTAAACTAAAAGAGGGTACATTCAGACTGGATACAAGGAAAAAATTTGTTACAGTGAGGGTGATGAAACACTAGAACAGGTTGCCACCACAGAGGTGGTAGCTGCCCCATCGCTGGAAGTGTTCAAGGCCACGCTGGATGGGGCTCTGAGCAATCTGATCCAGTTGAAGATGTCCCTGCTTGATGCAGGGGTGGTGGAACTAGATGATCTGTAAGGTCCCTTCCAACCCAAACTATTCTGTGATTCTGTGATTTGTGTAAGAATAAAAGAAAAAATATTACACATCTGGAGAGAGGATCTGAAGCTGATCATGATGTAAAGGAACAGAAAGCCATCCATGGCATAAAAAGGCACATTACCTACATACCTCATACCCCGATGATACTAAGGGATTCCCCCTGATCCTGCAGTGAGATGCTATCCTGTCTGGTATGCACAACATAACAGATTTCTACCACAAACACATAAAATCAATAGGTGCTAGATAATTTCTTCACACATTTACCAACTCCGTCTCCAGCGCTGTACTTGATGACCGGTGTCATGGCGCTCCCTTCATCAGTGATACAGGTCACTTGAAATAAAAAGGCTGAGCAAAAAGATTAGAAAATCCTGTCAGCAGAAGAAACTAAATTCTGTAGGTGCTGCTTTGTCACCGTGATCCACCACCAGAAGCAGCCAGATCTGAGAAAAGCCAAAGCAGTCAAGGCTGTGAGTCCCAGATCAGAGCCTCATAACCCCTTATGCATGCGTACTGAATTCTAAACTATGAACCATGGCAGATCATAGGTATTCACCACTACGATGTTGCTACAAATTATATTCCTTTTTCACCACCCAGTCCTCCCTCTTCCAATGACAGGTAACTGTCGACATTCAACTTATTTGTCATTTTGCCCTAAAGCCCTCATACTCCACTCACGGCCGATACAAACATGTTAAGAATGTTTGAGTTAAAAAAAAATGTATTAGTATCATTGCAGTAGTCAGGAAAGTAAAAAAATAAATTACAAAATCCTTTGACATAAAAAAAACTCAAAGCCTTAAAAACAGAACATTTTTTTCTTGTATTTTTTTTTCTTTTTTTCCCCTCATGGACAGAGTTTCCTTGTATTTTAAAGACTGCAAATTTCTGAAAGAGAAACTGCATTGCAGAACGTGGCTGATTCCAAGAGTGACTGACTTAATTTGGTTCAAATGAAAATCCAAGCTCCAGTCTTACCTGAAGCTGAAGATTTCCAAGCATTTCCCAGAGTGTAGCCCTGAAGGGTGGAATTGCAATGCTGCCCCAGGACTTGGGAACTTGGGAGAGCTCGACCCTCCCAATGAGACAGAGCAGTCTCAGCCAGTCAGGTACAATGTTTAAGAGGAAGCTTAGCTCCAAGGATTTTTTGTTTCAAGCATCTGCCTAGATGCACTTCAGTGTGTCTGTAGTACCCTCCTGTGCTCTTAGCTTGGGATGGCTATGCAGAGTTTTTCTTAAATTTAGCACACAATGATACTCATTTAGCTCAAGAGTCTTTCACAGAGAGAAAGCCATAGGAAATTGGAACTGACTTTTGTCAGATGTCCTTGGTAAATACAGCTCGGTGTCAAAGCCGCTGTAGATGCGTTGCCCGCTCTCAGTTAACGCGTACTCCTTCAGGCGGCCGTTCAGTACAAATGTACGACTCCAGTCTATGTGGATGGTAGATAAATTGCTGACAACGGAGAATGGAGCCGTGTACCGAGGTGCTACAAAAGAAGGAAAGAAAGCTCATTTCGAGACTCTCGCTTCAACAGGCATGACTGAGTTACACAGTGCAGAGAAGGAGACTCTGCATGATACAGGCTCTCTGTCGCATGCATTCCCCTCTCTCTCATATACACGTGTACGAGTAGGGAAGATAGAAGCAGAAAAGAGAAAGCTGCTGTAGCATGCCAGCCTTTACACTGAGAAAGCAGAAATATCTCATATCTTTAAATAAAGATCTAGAACTCCTTTCCTTTGCCTTTGTGTATGTGGTACAGATACTAAAAGTGTATAAATTAAATTCCAGCTTCAGATGGGGGTCAGGGAGACACAAGAGGTTGTGTGAGTCCAGCTGCAGCATGCCGGGCTGTGGGAACCGAACTGCTAAGGAGAGGACTCTTTTGCAAGCCCTAAGAAATTGCCCAAGATCATCTTTTAACACATGCACATACATGAAAACATGGGGTTTCAGAAAAGCAAGAGCAGATGGCAGGCAGAGAAAAAAGAAATCCAGAACTCACTTCAGGGAGGAAGAATTCATCAGCTGGGCTCAACAGCTTGCTGACAAAAGACTTCATTTTAAGTTTGAGGTGGGCCTTTCTTGCGCCTTTGCCATTAAGCCATGTGCCCAGTATATGCTGGTTTGTTCATGAGAAAGCTGCTTGTCCAGCTGCACTTTGCTGCTAATTGCCCACTGTCACTAAAGCAAGCCTTCCAGGCAAGAGAGAGCAGACATTCAGTGACCCACGAGACCTGATGTGAAGAGGTCAGCAAGGCAAGAACAGCAAAACTGAAAGAAGAGGGCTGCGGACCCAGTGGGTAGGGGGTTAAAAATGGCTTACAAACCTTTGTGTTCTTTATGTTTCATTGATTCATTATGAATTTTCTCCATGTAAAAGTTCATTATCACTTTCCAGCTTTTTAGTTTGCAATTTAATAAGACACAGCTTTAGAGATATGAAACTTTTTCTTTTTTTCAGTAGTGATATTAAAGAAAATCTGGAGCTCTCCCACCTGAAATTTTCAGCTAAGAATGTAGCGGATATATTTTTAGTAATTACTAGGCAAAGCTACCAAGTGATGCAAAAGGAATTTTTTTAGAAAGGTGATTCTGAAATCCTGACATGAGACTGTATGATATACAGTGAACATCCTCTTTGCCCTGACCTGGCAGGCTGAGGTGAAATGCCCATCTCATCTGTTATGGAATCACTCTGGCTGCAGCACTATAGATCTTTTTAATAAAAGCTGATGTTAGACTACTACAAATTCAGTTTTGATGGCAAAATCTATTCTGACTGTAGGCACACGTTCTGTATGTTTAATTTCCATGCAGACCACCACATGGCCTTAAAGTACTGTCCGTGATGGTTAGACAGTTAGCAACGAATTCTTACTTCAGTGTCAACAAGGATCCAATCATTCCGATGACATCCAAGGAAAACTCTTATCAGCCCTAGCAGAAGTGTGGCATGAATTAGGACAGTAAGATTGTTCCTGAAAAGAATCACCAGGTCTCTTTCAAGATCTCCACTTTTCCCAGGGATTTTTTATGGCAGTGTATTTATTACTACACATCACCCTTCTGGTAATACTTGAACATTTTATGTTCTGCAGCTTTGCTGCCCATTTTCAGAAAAATAAAAGGTTTCCAGGCTCCCAAGATAGAGGATATGATATCAGATGATGAGCAAAGAAGTATTTTTGAAGTCATGAGCAGTCAAGACCCAGAGCAGAATTTCAATGAATGGGCAGCAGAGGCACAGTCACCGGGGACACAGAAGAGCAGGTTTCTGGGGACATCATCTTTCACAGAAGTCATTTGGTGCTATGCAGACCCTTGCACCAGGAGTGGGCATTGCTGATCAGTGAACCAGTCCCCATACTCACGCTCCTTTTCTGTAGTGAAACCAATCCACTCTGAGGCGCTGCTGCCAACAGAGTTGTAAGACACAACTCGCAGATTGTAAGTCGTGTCGGGCTCCAGGTTGGATACATTGGCACTCTGGCCTTTTCCTGTATACTTCACCTCAGCTGAGCCAGGAGTGCAAGCCTTCACTGCTGGCTGTAGGTTCAGGGGACAAGCCATATAGACATGGAGCTCGTAGCTGAGAAAAAAGTTGAGATTTTGATTAATCAAGATCCTTCATAACATAACAGCCAATCATACATTTCATCCTAATTGCTGTATGTCTGGCTACCAGAGAAGAGAATGGACCTGATTCCAGTTTTTCGTTTGGAGATTTCTGCCCCAACTATAAGATGCCTACAAGCAATCGTAGTTGTAAGTCGTTGCACTTGCAGTGAAACTGTTAATGCCTGTTACCTTGCTGTTCACTTCTGCAAACCAGGATGTGCCTACGTAACTACCAGATGCAGCCACCTCTTCGCTGCCAGTTGAGCTCACAACTTTTTGGCTGTGCAACCACAGCTGTCAGACAATTACCTCCACTCACAACGACTCATCCTCTCTGCCTTCATCCTCCTCAGTATCCTGCTCAGGAGAAAATCAACCGTTGCCTGTAAACACTTCCCAGATGGCAGGCAGGCCACACAGGTTATCACCACCAACCCTGGGAAGGAGGAGCATGGCTGCCACAGCCCTGCAGCAATTCTAGCTCGAGTTGTTCTGCCGCCAGCCCTCACCAAGGTGTGCAGGTTCGGCTGGGTGGCAGCTCCCACCTGGTGACAATGCCGTTGGGCGACTGCGGGGCGCTCCACTGGAAGGAGGCGTTCCTGGAGGTCACGGTGTGGATCTGCGGTGGGGGCTGCTCTGAGGGTGGGGCCGGCTCCGTGGTGATTTGAGCCATGGGTCCTTTGCTGCAGCAGTTGAAGCAGGTGCAGGCCTCCACGCCAATGGAGTAAGTGGTAAAAGGTTTTAGCCCATGTATTGTCTGCTGGGTGGCAGTCCCTTCTGACAGCTGCAAAAATTAAGAGGGAACTTGTCACAGTTTCAAGCACCAGAAGTACTAAATAAGAATTATAGAGGTGAATTAACTAGAAGAAGATGGGCACAAGGTTCTGCATGTCCTTTGAGTCTGACATTAATGCAGCTGTTGTGTAATGGGAACTCTGCACTCATTTTTCTCCCATTATGAAGTTAAAGGGCACTGTTCAAAGGAAAAGACCATGCCATCAGTGGCCTCACAGATGTCTTGAGTTGAGCTGTGACCACTGTATGTCAACTTGCAAATGTCATTCTCAGGAACAGAGAAACAGAAAACCTTTAAGGAGAAACTCTGGGAGAAGTGGTACTGAAGAAAAAGAAATTAATGTGGAAAATAACTCTGTGATCAGTGTCCTAGCAAATGCTCATGTGTATCTCACAAGCTTCCTTAGTGTGGGTACAGGAGACAGCATTGGGCAGAGTGATACAAATGTGTCTGGTGGGTCAGTTTACTCACAGACAAGAGAATGTGCTCTCTGGTAGGTACCTCTAAGTTGAGGGCCAAAACGATGCTGCTCTGCATTCAAACGGCCACGGTGCTGGGTGAGTCGGTTAGGAAACTCTCCCATGCTCAGCAAGGGAGACCTAGCAGTTCTGGCAAAGGAAACGGTGCCCTTGTTCTGAAACTGCTCACAGAAATGGCCACTTCACCTCATTGCTGTAGTCATTTGTGGGTATAACTTCTTCAGCCAAAGAAATAAAAATATGTAAAAAATACCAACAAGGGGCAACATCTTCTCCCTTTGGCAAGCATCTGATTTAGCAGAGTGCAATAAAAAAATAGGAAGGAAAGAGTCAAGCAAACAAAGGAAAGCACTTGGTACTTCTTGCTGCCAGAGCCGGAGATGAGCCAGTAGCGTGGCAGGTGTGAGGGGAGGGCAGCGGAGGGCCATGCAGGCACCAGCGAGGTGAACGGGCTGAATCAGACGCGGACACAGCCAATTGCACCGGAAGGAATAAATGCATAATGTGCACTCGGTAGGCAGCTTAAGCTCACGGAAAGGATTGATGCCCTGGGAAGGTGTCCCTAGCACTTCCAAGCCGAGCAGGATGGGACAAGGGAAAAAACCCATACAAATATTTATTTACTTGTAAAAAGCAAATAGATATCGTTACAGACAAAAAGTATTCAAGTATTTGGCACTGACTTGGTGGTAACTTTCCCAAGTACCTTCCACAGCCCTAGCCTTTCCCCACATCTCTTTATTTTATAACTCTAATGAAGGCCTGCAGGTTTCTTAAGCTGGGACCGGTCATTTCTGGACACCTAATGTTGTCTAGGCTGACACATCAAACACAGAAGTTCCTTGGCTACTTGCACTATTCTTCAGTGTTTTACCATGAAATACTTCTGACCAACAAGAAAGATTTTAAGGAAAACACATGTACAGCACTTTCTTCTGAACTTCAAGTTCATAGGCTATCCAAAGCACACAACTATTACCTGCTGGTTGCAGTTTCCACCTGCACCATTTGGACTGGCAGGAGCTGGCTGGAAGTGTTTCATTTGGATGTTTAGCCACCCCTGAACAATACTTGTGATTACCATCACATTGTCACAGCACATCAGCATGTGAGAAGGGTTTAATTATGAGCTTAGTTCCTCGAGAAGCATGACATTTAGGTGGGTGAAAGCACTGGTGGCGCTTTGGCCAGAAGAGAGCAATACAGAGCAGTCAACAATGGGAGTGCAGGAGAAGAAGACAGTCTGCAACCAGCAGTAGCAGCTTGTAAGAACAAAATTGTTAAAGCTAGAAAATACAGGCTGCAATGGAAGTACGGAAACAGTGTTGACAATACTCACCACCACATCAGTCCCTCTGGTACCGTTAGAAAAAAGCCTGTAGATACTGACCACGCCGTTTGGCTTAAGAGGGGGGCTGATGTTCACCACGGCCACTGTGGATGCCACCGTGTCGAAGAGGGGAGCTCCCAGGCCCTCCGGAGGGGCCGGGCCTGTCCGGCAGCGGGACCAGCCACTCGGTGTCCGGCCCGCTGAGTTTACCGACCACACCTGCGGCACACAAAAACAGAGAAGCTGTTAGCCAAGGACTCAAGCCTACAAAACATCCACGGTTAGCCAGGGATGCTACTTCAGCTGTACTCAGACTGAGAAAAACGCAGCCCAATGACACCCATGCAAAATGTGCCTTGACTCCCACCCAGCACCTGTGCTGACCCAGTGACTTTCTAACTGAAAAGTGGAATGTTTCCCACTGCTACATTTAGGGAAAAGAAGCAGATTTCATATCTCAGGCAGCGTGTGTTCATGTGTCTTCTTCATACCTGATTCCCAAACTCTGAATTCCCACCACTGTCTGTGTCATACCATGCAAAGAGGACTGAGAAGCTGTCATCAACAGTGATAAAGGTTTCAAAGACATCTGAAAAAAAACCCTGATATGCAGTCCTGCGAGTTTCTCCCTTCTGCACACTTTCTTCATGCAGGCAAGCAGACCCAATGAATTCAGGCTGGCACTGTGTGACACTGAAGTTTGTTCACCTTGCTGAATCACACAAGCAAAACTCTAGTTTGCTTTAACACCAGGGAGTTTTACAGAAACACCCCTCTTGAAAATATTAGTGTATCAGTCATTTGGCAACATTTTCAGTAACATGTAATATAAATAAAGCCCACTGAAATGCATAGTTAAGTCAGCATATCTCATTTATTTTCACAACATTTTCTTTATTGCATGAGCACAAAGGCAGTGGCTTCCGTTCCAAGATTTCAAAATTTAGCAGCTTGAATTAGCCCTGATTAAAACCCACATGTCTCTATGAACTATGCCTACTGATTTTGTCAGCTTCCCAAAACCAGTGATCTGCAGACTACATAAAACTCAGCACTTCTTAAACACACCCTCCAACAAATCTGCATGAAAATTAAATTTTGCTTTCATCAAGGAGTGAATAAACATATGGAAGGATGTATAATCTTATTTATCAAAAACCATTTGTATAATTAAACACGAATATCATAAAAGGTTGCCTTAGGTCGTCATTTGCATGAGTAAGTAATTTGTAGAATGTCAGGTACAATAGAGAGAATAGATGGATGCGTGAGCGTATAGGGTTAAATTAGGCTCAGTATTAGCCAACCACATAGTGATCAATCAGAATGATAGATCTAAATGGCAATACAAAAGGACTGTCTGAGCGATTTTTAGTATAAGTATTCCTTAGTAAGCTTTCATGTCGAGCAGTTCTAACTGCAGTAAAACATGTTCTTATGTGATCTACTCTGGGCAGAGGTAGTGGGGAAGTGGACAGTGGGACTATGCCTTAAAAAAATTAGGAGGTTTAGAAATAAGAGGTCTTCAAAACTGACCCTGGAGTCCTTTCAGCTTGCAATATCAAGTTCCAAGGCCACAGGACACTTCACAAGGAGCCTGGGGAAGGAAAAAGGCCAAAGACCACCACAATGGCTTTGAAGACTGGTTCTGCCAATTAGAAACCTGAAGTTCCTGCCTGATTCCCTGAGTAATGTATAGCACCATCCAGCGAAGCACTATGTAAGTACAGATGATGCCCTATGACAAAAAGCTCTGCCAAAGCACTTTCATTTTCAGTGAAATCAGTAATATATATCTGTTGTGAACTTTTCATGAAGTCAAACTCTGTTCACTTTACTGCAGTAGGTCAAACCCTCTATTTCAGGTCAGTTCCAGCTGCCACAAAGATTTGCCCACAGTCGTTGATTTCAAGGGGTGTATTTCTTTGTGGAAACAATAAGCCACGTGTGGAATGAGCTGCTCTGAGTGTGCCACTGGCATCGATTCAGCACTGACCTGAGCTCAAATGCTCGTTATATCCAAGGTGTGGCCTTAATGAGCACGGAGCGTAACAGTGTCGGACCTGACCAGCCGAGCAAGCTGTCCACAGCAAACTGAAGGGGATGAGTTAGGAACAGAGGCTTCCTGTGTAGCACAGGAATTTGGCCTCAGAGTGCAACCCCTTAGGAATTTCAGAGGAGACAGGGACGCAACTTACTTTGGAAGCAGACGCCTCACTGAGGGTTGGGTGGAGACACATTCCTCCATCAATCCCTCTCCTATCATAGGTGCCTACGCCTTGTCGTTCAGAAAACAAGCCTTATTTCAGACAAACAATGGCTCTTTCTTCCAAAACACTGTCTTAGGACAAGGGAAAAGAGGATGCTCATCCACTTTCATACTACAGCTAAGTAGTTAAAGGACTCCTCCAGGAGACAGGCAATTTAGGTTCAATCACATGCTCCAATGGAGGCAGTCAAGCTTGCTGCCCTCCAGAGTGGGAATGCCCAAGTGTATGATCTGGCTTTGTTCTGGGGGTGCTCCCACTGCTCCCTTCAGGGCTGTTTCAATTTGCACGAACACAATGAAATCAAGGTTGACCGGGCAGAGCACGAGGAAGTGGAAGCAGACAGTTCCCCAGCCCAGCCCTTCCTCAGGGCAGTGAGGGGCAGCTGAGGTTGTGGTCCTTCCCCCAGGCGCCACATGCCTGTTCCTCTTGAAAAAAGGCCAAGGTCATAGCCGCATGTGTGTGGGCCTGACAGACAGACATGCTCTGAGCATTCCTTCTAGACAGACACCAGCTACTCAGCCCTGCCAAGCCACATTTCCAGCAGAAAACCTCTAGATATCTGTGAAACTCTCCAACGCCAGCTTCTGAGACAGCTGTGACAGCTAAAAAGGACTTCTGAGTATCTAAGTTCTGGATTTACACTGGCCTAAGCTGGATTCCCCTAGCTCCCTCTGCTTCTGCTGAACCATCTGTAAAAGGATGGATGGGTATAAAAATATTTCCCTTTGAGAACCACCAGCCAAGTAAATCAGTGTTTGGAGACTCGGAGCAGTAAGTGCCCAAACTGACTGCAGATGGAGATGCTGATGTTAGCCACTTCTTTGCATGAAGAAATGGGACAGCATGGCAACAGAGGTCACAATGAGGAGTGCCTGTTAAAATCAAAGGTTTGGTCATGGCTCCTCAAAAAGTGACCACAAAATGGTCATGGATGAAAGCTGTTGCCTGGCTAGCCTGGTTAAAGTGAAAGTTCATAGTTTGGACTTTTGTAAAAAGTTTTTTGGGCTCACAAAAATTCCTTCTGAATCGTGATATAATCAGCACTAAAAAATATTTAACTGCATTCATATAGAAACCGAAAGAGCTTATAGGCATCTGTATTACCTGCTGCTTATAACGTAAGAAGATTATAAAGGAGCCCATAGGAACGTGGAACAAACAAGAAGCAGTCACATCTGAGGGACATACTGAATGGCAAAACAGAGACAGCAGAAAACGAACAGAAGTTTCTTATAACTTGACTTTCTGAATGTATTGCCTCCAAAAGCATTAAGTCTGACATCATGGTGCATGGCTCAGCACCCTGCCAAAAGATGTGCTGCTGTTAATGGCTGCACTGTCCAGAAAAAGCCAGGGGAGGGCTCCGAAATCAGCTACTCGGGTTACTATTTAAAATGCTTTATCAATCTGCTGGCCCCTGGCCCAAACTGCACTTTGAAGGGGAGCCAGAGAGAGAGAGAGGGAAACCTCTCCGGAGACCGTATATTCAGAGGACTGAAAAATTCCAGTTACAGATAACTAAGCTTGTTTTTTTCATCATAAATGAGCCTTTACAGATCTCTGCTCCTGGAAGAAACTGGTGATCGGCCATTGCTCAGAATGATCCCAGGACAACCTCAAGGTTCATTGGCACAGCGAGAAGGGGCAAAACCTATGATGAGGAGGAAGGGAAGTGCTGAGAAGATGGCCTCAGCCTTACCATGACGAGCCCAGCTTGTTCAAGCTTAGTAAAGCTGAGTAACAACTCCTTCCATAAAGGGCAACAAAATCACAACGGCACTTGGGTGTAGATGCAGAATAATCATGGTATTGTAGATGCCAACAGTGGAAGAAACCCATTAGATGACTAACTCCATCCCTGAGCCACACAGGTTCTTCTGCTTCAACACTCTTGAAACCTCAGATCCTTACTGAGAAAGCTATGTTTTAAACTGAAAAAGAAGCCTTTCTTTCACCAAGTTGAGGTCGTATGTGAAGATATTTACTCCATACAGAAGATACTAATGGGAATTGAGGGAAACAGCTGGATACAAGCTTCCACAGCTCCTCCAATGCTGCAGCACAAGAAAGGCACTAGAAGAAAAGCAATGATAAGCCAGGCAAGCACTATGGCCTCACTGTGATGAAAAAGGGAAGGTGAAGAAACTGCCAACATAAAGCACTCAAATTAACCGCCCCAAAAAGGACAAAGATAGCCCAGCATTAAGGCACTAAACACAGTGTGTAGCCAAAAGTTTCCCCAAACAAAAAAAGCGATCCCATGATCACACAACTCCAATTACGTGAAGAAGCGTAACCGGGCTGACTGAGCAGCGGTTTGGGAGAGGACGTTGTGCTTGCGCTGACGCCTGCCAGCTCACAACACTCGCACCTCAGACCGGGCTCAAGCAAGGTGACAGGTATCACGGCTGCAGACACAGTGACTAACCGGGAAGTCCTCCAGTGGGAATCCTCTCTGCTCCTGCAAAGGGAAGCCCTGGGCAGCTGACAGCCTACAGAGCACGAGAAACTCTCCTGTGCTGGAGAGGTCTCGCTCACTTCTGCTGAAGCGTGGCAAGGCAGCAGCAGGCAGAAGGGTGGACTGGCTGGTGGTAGCTTGCCTGTCTGAAGGCAGCAGTGCCGAGCTCCTGCTGACTTCCCAGGTCAGGGAGAGCTGCGATCCTCTGCTTTGCACGGAGGCCAGATGCTGCTCACCCTCCCTGCTTGCAGGATATGGGCAGAAAGGAGAGCGAGCCGAACAGCTGACTGCCAACCGGCAGTGACTCCTGGCTCCCACCATGTCCTACAGGCTCTGTGCGTCATGCCGCTTCGCACTGCCGTTACTCTACAGGCCCTCACAGTTGCCTCTGTGGCAACAAGATCTCAGTTCTGTCTGTGGCAGCAGCTTGCACAGAGCTCCTGCAGGCCCTCAGAAAAGAGTCTTTACCTTAAAAAAAGTCTCATTACTAA